AAATTTTTAAATCCACACCCACCCGTGCAAGTATATTCTCAAATCCACCTCCCACCTACTACTCAACTGGATACTCACCACTTATCTCGTACCCGACTGCAACCGTCCATACCTACTTAGCAACAAATTCACAAATTATATAAGTGACGATCTCCAATTCTAAAAATATTTATACCCTAACATTTGGTTAAATTATAAGTTATGTCATATAAAATCTTAAGATTTACAGAATAATCTCTAAAATTATACCTAAATTTATAATGATCCAAAATTTATATGGTAGATAGTTAGTGGGTGCGTGGATGCATGACGAGTAAGGTCTCAAAACCATTCCCTACCCACTACCCAATGACTTTTAACATCCACATCCACACCCGCACAGTACCCACTAAATTTATACCCATCCACACCTCAATTGAAGTAGGTACGGTGCGAAATCCACAAAATTGTACCCGTCTGCAATCCTACCGATGAAATTGTTAAAAATAGCATTCCCTATCCTCAAACCTCAAATATGAACCATAGGACGACGATGTCGTCAAAAAGATTAAGGATTCTGCAATATTCATAAGAATTTCCCTTCCTCTAAACATGGTAAATTCGGGATCTTAAGGGTCCGATTATTCTGCAAGTCCAGAACTCAAGCCAAGGAGCGAAGAAAATGGGAAACAAGATGAAATGCAAGAGATCCATCGAACAAGTTTATTTGAAAAACTCCAGAACTCAAGCCAAGGAGCGAAGAAAATGGGAAACAAGATGAAATGCAAGGGATCCATCGAACAAGTTTATTTGAAAAACCCGCAAAACCATATCGAAACAATCGAAGGATTAACCCGAATAAGAGGACTAGGTTTAATGTAACCTTCACATCCCCCCGCCCCACCCAGAAACCAACAGAGTCATAGTGAAACGATGATGAAATGCACTTACTTGCATCACGCCCTGTAATCAGTTGCTTTGAGAACTTATCTACTTTTATTCGATCACAGCAAAAGTCTGCAACTACTAATTAACAATTGACAAAATTTAATTTGCATTTATACTAGTAAAATGTGTGCGACAAGTACCTCAAGCATCAAGATTTTCCAAGAAATTGCAATGGACAAGAACAGTACAAAGCTTCACTTCGATATCTCCCCACTTTATAATAATGGAAAAGATAAACCAATTATGAGTTTGGACTCTGTAATCAATTATTGTCTTCCTTTCACTTGTCTTCACAATCACAACACCCTGCTAAGCGACTTGATAAGTGATTTTAGATTCTTTCTTGTAGACTTGTCGCCCGTGAATCCCAGTATATCAGGACTTATATTCTGAAAAGGTAAAAAAAGAGGCAGGGCATATGTGAATTCGAAGATTTAAATAAACAATTGAGAGGAATGCTAGTAGCTGGTAAGAAAATCTCTACCTCGATATTCTTCAAAGTGAAAAACAGAGTATAAATTGATTTTTGAATCAATTCCGTATTCTCAGAGGTCATAATGGATGAATGCACCCTTCTGCAAAGAAAGTAACTGTAGTTGTAAGCTCATACATATAAGATGACGAAGGCTGCCAAGGCAACAAATGAAGGGGCCAAATCTTATTTTCACGTAAAGTGTCTTTCTTCGCCTCACATCATAATTAGTATAGATGAAATTCAAAGTGTCCATACTGATGCTTCCACATTACTAATAATTTATTGTCCCAAAGCATTTTTAAATTTGCTACTCCAAATTCAAGGATTTGGTATGAGTTCGCGATGCAACATCTACAACTGACTTTTAACGGTAGGAGCAAGGATAGATACCTCGGTAGCGGGAGTTCAGATCTTTTAGTCCTTCGGTTTTAGAGGATCAAAGTGAAATAAGATGAGGTGGTGGCTTGTAATTATTAAGGGTCAAGGTTGATTGTAGCAGTAATATAATGCTAACTGTTGAACACAATGGTAAAATTATAAAAGACTCCATAACACGGCATGGAGGTGGAAGGTGACCATGTAAAATGTAAGAACTACGATCATTGTTTGAAGCATTTCCGGACATCACCTAGAAAATAAAAATCATGAAGCACCACCAGACCTTTTATTTACCAGAATAAACTTTTTGAATTCATGCTAGAGTATTGAAAAAATACTCATAATATGTTGGCCTAATGCTTTGTCTGAAAACAATTCTTAGTTATAGCATGTGGGAGCAACTCCTAGGTGACAAGCACATCATAATAAAATTATAGTGAAGAAAGAATAGAGAATTCACCTCAAATCCTCAGAGGCTTGTGTTAGGCTTCTGGTCAAATTCTCAACCTCCTATCATGAAGCTCGGCCAACAAAGGTTGCACATCTTCGGCTATGGCTTCAATCTGAAAAATCATTACATCAAATTCAAAATTTTGACTCATGAGAATCCATCAAAAGTTCAGTTTAGAATCTTTATCCAATCAATTAGAGAACAGGGAAACACGTACAGGCATAAATTATTATATTTATGCACCTCATGCTACTGTGTGGGTGTAATAATAAATCATTCAAACAGAACTCAGAGTACAAAAAAGAAGAGAAAAATATAATGTAGCTGATCCATTCACTTCTTTCATGCTTATAATAGAACTATGAGCAATATAGTTTAGAAAAAGAAATTTCATCAATAAGACACAAAATGTAACAAAACATTGCACACCTTTCTGAGCAGGGGCTTTGCATTCTGAATAACAGAAGCAACTTGCTCAGCAAGTGCATATGTGTTGGCAATACCTATTTCCTCCATTTGACTAGCAAGATGGGTTACAATCCCTACCAATTCATCCAGACTTACCCCTGGTTCCCCCTTTATCTTTTGCCTATCACATACAATTAAGCCTTCCTTAATGCAGTCAGCATCTAGAGGTCACACTGAAGGTGACGGAATTGGATCCGTTGGTGTGATATCAATCAAAGTTTCCATCAAAAGGCCAGATTGGTTGACCTCAATCAGCGAATTTCGACGTATAACAATCTTATCATCTTCAACCTAAGAATGATGGAAACAAAGTTGGTGCATACACAAACAAAACCACAAGAAAATATTACAGAAAATTTGTTATCCTGAAATGTACCTCAATAACTGCTTCTATACTTCTCAGGGAGGGATTAACACGTACAAAATTGCCTACAGTCACCCCTCTAATCCTAACAGGTGTTCCAGTGCAAATACCCGATGCTTGAGCAAATTCAAACACTGCTAGGTACTTCCGGAATTTCGAACGAATCTGAAAGCCCCTCAACCAAGCCAGAGAAAGTGCAAGAAGCACAGTACCTGACACAAGAAACAACCCAACCCCACCTTCTAAGGAATCACTCAGTGGACGTAAAGCTTGCCTCCAAATATTCCGAGGAATATCTACAGCAAGTGGATTCTTTTCCTCTGAAGAACAAGGTGGCGGGTTATTCTCAGTACTAGCAGACATAACTCTAACTTTTGCCGACCTCGGTTTAGGTGGAAGACATGGAACAATTCTCCGAGAAGAATGCGGGATGGCGGTCAAAGTTGAAGACGACAAAGAAGGGCATGTTGGAATCTTGAATAGTGTATTTCCAACCATTTTCAGAAATCTGAAAGCCAAACGCTATGAATACTAGTATACTACGCAACCCAAACTGCTAACAGTGCTATCCCTTTAGCTAAAATACAAAACAAAACAATAAAAATTCTCTCTAAATGTTCAGCAGCCAAGGCTTCCATTTAACTGAAAGGCAACACAATTGATTTGAGATTCCATCAGTTCAACGAAGAATACAGCACAGAAAATAAAAACAAAAATTGAGGTTAAATTGAATACTTAGAATGCCATCAATCACGCTTGAAAAAAACAACTCCAATATCTATTAAATTCAATTCACAGCGGCTTAAAGGGGAAACGAAGAGGAAGAAAAAGAAAAAAAAGGGGGGAAATGAACTCCTTAAGATTAAAAGGAAAACCATCGCATTTTTTCAATGGAACAATTACAAGGCAAATAACAGAAGATCACATCAAATTATCACTGATAGGAAGTTACGAAGCTAAGGTTTCAAATAGAGAAGCAGAAAGGAAAAAAAATAGAAAAAATTAAAATTCACAGTTAAGAGATATCTTACAAATTTTCTTAAAATTTTCTCGTTAACCAAACACTTTAAAAGGAAGATTTAAGGTTTCGTGAGTACTTTCAGAGCTGGCTAGGGCTTTCCCCTTCACGAATCGGAGACCGTAGTTCAGTCATTTTGTTGGAAATGAAGAAGACAAACGAATCGGAGACCTAAAAGTATATTAAGCCTTGATTTTTTTGTTAACATGACAATCATCTCATCCACGTTATTACTTTTTTTTTTCTTTTTCTTTTTCCTCTAAAAATAAAATTTTTATAATTTTATAATTATCTCACATCGATGTAATTTTTTCTTGACATCTTTTCTGATCACTCAAGACATTAACGAAATCATCTCGTCATCTCTTACACTCTATTTATTTAGATTTTACCTAAATCATTCAAACTTATGAAATTTAATCATGAATCCAAAATTTGTGAAATTCAAAATCACTATAATATATAATCCACCATCCGAGTAAAGTGAGATATAAAAGTCACTTCCTCATTCTCCTTCACCTCACTATTCAGATTAAAAAAAATGTTTCATTAACGCAACTCTATTATTTAAAAGTTTATAATTTGGTCATCACATTTTAGAAAGACAATATCATAAAACCCCTATAACATTCGAATAAATAATTATTTTAACTCACATTCTCTTTTTGGCTTTAAAGCTTTTAGGACAAAAATTCCTCTGGCTGGATGAAAACCATTGATTAACAAATGGCTTTCGGTATTAAAATCTTAAAATATTAAGGGTCAAAATGTTCCAAAAAGAAAAAAATAAGGACTAAAGTGATTATTTATTCAAATATCATGGGTCTTTTACCCTAAAATAAAATATTGGGCTAGTAATTTCGTCCATAAAAACGCCAAGTAAATATTCCATTACAAAAAGCTTTTGAATGTTGCAAAACGAAATGCAAGAAGTAAACTAGAAGTCAAAATCCAGTTTTCATTTCCCATTAATGGAGCTGACAAAAGCTTAGGGCAGCTGTAATTTTCACAGGTCTTGAACGGTCAAACCTGCAAACATGAAATCGATGAGAAACATGGTCAAGACCAAGGACCTTGAAATGCTTATCAACTTGATAAGAAAGATCCTAATTTCCGGGACCGATCATGTTTGTTCGTTTAAAATATCGACACCGATTTGAAAAAAAAGATAGGAATGAAAAAAGGGCTCCTGCATGGCAAATTACCTGGTGGAAGAGACTGCTTCAATTTGTCGGCCTTCTCGGCATCTGACACACAAAGGGTGTACAAGTATTTCGAGCAGCGGACCTTGAACTTTACAACATCTTTGCTTTTCTTGATCTTTACCGAGCGGGCGTCTTTCCTTCTAGCAGTGAGAAGGAAGTCCTTGATCTCATGAATTTGCTTAGGCTGTGCATCACAATATGATAAAGAATAATTGAATCATAGGAACTAAAGCTGAACCAGAAAACCAAGTCCTAAAAGCCTAAATCCTATCAAAACCGAGCCGATTAACAACTCGAATACAACCAAGGAACAATAAGAGAACTGCACATTCAAGCTAACCAAACTTAACGGATGCTATAGAAATTATAATTTAGCAAGACTACAACAAACATTCCAAATGTTTCAACTTTATTCAAATTTTCATCAAGCAGAACCAGAAAATCCAGTCCTAAAAACCTAAATCCTATCACAACCAGGCCGATTAACAACTTGAATGCAACCAAAAGAACTGCACATTCAAGCTAACCAAACTTAACGGTTGCTATAGAGGACATTATAATTTAGCAAGACTATCACAAACATTACACATATTTCAACTTTATTCAACTTCTCATCAAGCAGAACCAGAAAATCAAGTCCTAAAAGCCTAAATCCTATCACAATCAGGCCAATTAACAACTCGAATACAACCAAGGAACCAAAAAAAACTGCACATTCAAGCTAACTAAACTTAACGGATGCTATAGTGGACATTATAATTTAGCAAGACTATCACAAACATTCAAAATGTCTCAACTTTATTAAAATTTTCATCAAGCAGAACCAGAAAATCAAGTCCTAAAACCTAAATCCTATCACAACCGGGCCGATTAACAACTCGAATACAATCAAGGAACCCAAAAAAACTGCACATTCAAGCTAACCAAACTTAACGGATGCTATAGAAGACATTATAATTTAGCAAGACTATCACAAACATTCCAAATGTTTCAGCTTTATTCAAATTCTCATCAATTTATTTCCATCTTTCAATCAAGCTTTCATCAAACCAGACCATCCTACCACTAAATGATTTAAAATAGTTAGATAAATAACTTTAAAAAATAGGGTAAACTACGCACCTAAACTATCAATTTTAGTTCGTTTTACTACCTATACTTTCAATTTTTTCAAAATAATACCTAAAATTTAATTTTTGTTTCATTTTAGTATCCTACAGTTAAAAACTTAACGCATTTAATACCAACTATCAATTTTTGTCCGTTTTAGTACCTAAACTTATAATTTTTTTTTTCAGAATTTAACGTTAAAATTTGAACAGAACACAAAAATGAAATAAAAACTAGACTATAATTTAGGTACTAAATGCGTAATTTACCCTAAAAATAATGGGATTGATAGTTTTAATATTTTCAAGCAGACCAAGGACAAAGTATACAAACTTAAAGGACAGCAATTTATCACAATTTATAAAACTACCCTCTTAAGGGAAAGATCACATCTTTCCAATGTATCCAAAATACACAACCCAAACTATTTCAGTATCATTTATAAGAACCACTTCAAATTTCAACCCAGCTGCACTAAGAAAATAAACGGCAAGAAAATGCAACAAGTAAAAGCCAAATACAAGAAAAATAACGAAACAAATTAAGAGAAGAGGATATGGAGGATAAACAATCATCATCGAGAAAAAACAGTGAGCCATTGGGTATTAAAACAAAATCAGTTTCGGGTACCTAATGAAATAATTGAAGACAAATCTTTTTAGATTACCATTTCCGATTGACGCTTCAGGGGAGCTCCTTCAGTTTGCAGGGAAACCCTAAATTTTCCCCTTGTTTGTTATATGGAGGCGCTCAAGAAAAGCCTAAATTTTTCGCCTCGTTTGAGCCAATTTGAGGGATTATATTACGTTGAGAGTACTACCCAACAACCTGATTTTAAAAGGCATAATGATAAAATTTGCCCCAATCTTTACAAAATGGTCATTTGTTAGAGTAATTTGATCACTAACATTTTATTTTAGGATAAAAAATCCATAACATTTAGTAAAATAATCATTTTATCTCTTATTTTTTTTATTTGGATATTTTAATTCTCAACGTTTTATTTTAAGTTAAAAAAATAGCTTAATACCAAAATAAGTGTCCAAACTATATCGTTTCCCCCGAATAGGTGCCTAAACTATATTTTTACTCATCCAGGTGTCTAAAGTTATAAATGTTACCACTTTAAGTGTTTAACGTTACAAACTTTACCACTTTAGGTGCCTCAATCTTAACGGCTGTTAAAAAAACTCGTTAAGTGACACGTGTCACAATCTGGTAATTTTTAAAAAATATTTTTTTTATAAAAAAAAAACTTAAAAATATTTTATTTTTGAAAAAGCTCCATTTTTTCTAAAATACCAAAAAACCCCAAACTCTTAAAATCTCTTATTCTTGTTCTATTTACTCCAACCACTGATCATCTTCGGCCACCCATACGTCGCCGACCACCCACTAACCGGTTATAATTTTTAGTATCGTCTCAAAACCTAAAATTCTCAAATCCCTAAATTTCAATCCATACTCCCTAAAATCCCAAATATCCAATCTCTTAAATTTATTTGATCGATCGTGGTAATCGACCATTTAACCGACTATGGAAATCAATCCCTTGACCATTTGATCAACTGGTCGTTTGGCCATGAAATTTGAAACCACGAAGTTTGTGACATATGTTATTTAACAGGCTTTCTAACAGTCGTTAGAAATGAGACACCTAAAGTGGTAACGTTTTTAACTTCAGACACCTAAAGTGGTAGCGTTTATAACACTAGGAGCATAGATGAGTCAAAATAGTTTAGGCACCTATTCGAAAAAAAGGGTATAATTTAAACACTTATTTTGATATTAAGCCTAAAAAGATTCATATTTTAGAGCGTTAATTGTATGTTAACGAGTGATTTTCATTTATAAATGGAGTTTTTTACCTCAAAGTGAGATGTTAGGATCCAAAATGCTCCGAAAAAATAAGGACCCAAATATCCATTTTGATAAACGTCGTGGGCTATTTTTAATATTATGTAATTTTTAAATTAAAATGTTATAAAATGAAGTATAAAGAAAAAGAGGTTAACATAAAATTAAATTAATCCATCCACCCTGAAATAAAAATTCAATTATAATTAGTTATGATAAAGTAAATCATAAAATATTATGTAACTTGAAATCATCTCAAAATAAATAAAAAATATTATAGGAATTAATAAAACGACATCAATAGTAAAAGAGAATATTGTTATTTTTAGATATTATAAGTTTAAATAGTTAGATATTTAGGGTGTATCACCGCCATCAATTATTAAAAATGATTCTGAACAAATACGATCTTATAATCTTTTGATTCAATAAAGAATCCTTCAAGTCCAGTTTGATTCAACAAATACGGTCTTATGCTTCCCATATATAATTTTGATCTTTTATACGAGAGATACATAATATATTTCTTGTTATCATCCCGTATTTAGATTTAGAAACAGAAAATTTATGAATAAATATTATATTGTAATATTTTCTAATACCGAAAGGTATATAATTTAATTTTTTTTAAAACTAAATAGGAATAAAATACATGTCAATTGTATAATATATTTCCTTTCCAATGATAGAATAATAATTCAAGCTGGGCCAAGCTTTATAAAGCTTTGTTGCATGTTTTTGGCTTATGGATACTCTACATTATTGTATTTGCTGATATAAATTAAATTGATTTGAATAATCAAATATTGAATATAAAATATTTTAGTACTTATTAATTTAAATTATTTTAATAGTCATTAGGAATAAAATTTTAATTTTCTCACTAAATAAGAATTATTTAAAAAAATTATTATATGGAAGGTGAGTGATTATAGGGATGAACGTAAGATTTTGTGTTAGGGGACGAGCTTGAACTTATAAAATTTCAGGGGTGAATAAAATTTTAGGGAGACAAAAATAGATTTTTAATAGAAAATACATAGAAAAAATTTAAAATATATAATAATTTTAAATTTTTAAGGGGCGACTGTCCCGTCAAGCCTAGGTCCATCCCTGGTGATATATATATATATATATATATATATATATATATATATTGTAGGGCTAAGTTTTGGGAAAGAGAAATATTTATAATCAAAAAATAAAAAATTAGGGAAGATGAGCAAAATAAAAAGAAAGGAAATAGTAAGGGGTTAAACTAAAAATAAGTCCCTAAACTATTTTTATTCAAAATAAACTCTTAAACTATTTTTTGGTCAAAATAAGCCCCTAACTATGCCCCATTTTGCTTTAAGTCCCTAAACTACCTTGGATCAAAATACGTACCTAATTTTGTGTAACATGCAGCATCTTGCTGACTGAAAAAAATTCTATCTGAAAAACGTCAAAACTTAGAATGGTTAAATATGATAGTTTAAGGACTTATTTCGACCCAAAAAATGAGTTAAGGATTAAAGTGAAAAGGGGGCAAAATTTTGGGGTCTATTCTTGCTTTAAGCCGATAAGAAATGAACAAGAAAGGGGTCTGATGTAAATCTAGAAAAGTTGATCTCCACTACACAATGTTGGAGTAAAGCAAGAAGAGAATAATGGTAAGTAAAGGCAAAAAAAATATGCTGTTCGAGTCATTACACAGAGACAATGGTAGGCAAACATGGGATTTGGTTGGTATTCTTGTGTTTGCCACCAATGTCTCTTCTTTGGCCCCCCTTTTCACTTTATATCAGATGGTCTCGACTATAAGATACTACTTTATTAAATCGATTATTTAAAGTTATAAAACAATCATTCGACTATAAAATGTTACTTTATTAAGTCTCTCAGCTATTAAAAGTTACTAAATGGTCACCCGACTATTCATTATGTTTCAAAGTCATCATTTTCGTTAAAAAGTCGACGATTGTCTAAGCTGAACATTAGTATGATGACTGAGATATGATAGTCGTTTGAGATTATGAGATCAGATTTTTATCATATCACAACCAGCAGGTTAATGTTCAACCCAGAATATCATCCATTTTTAACGAAAAATGTCGATTTTAGAACATAATGAATAGTTGAGTAACCATTTTGTAACTTTTAATAGTCAATGACTCAACAAAGTAACACTCTATAGTCCGAAGATCATTTTATAACTTTTAATAGTCGCTAATCAAAGTATTTTTAAAAAAAGTCTTTCGAGAAAAAATCATAAATAAAATAGGAGAATTTTCACAGAGGTCGAGAATAGAATAATACAAGATTAATATACGTTAACAACTCTATATCTAATCACAATCTCTAATAACTATTAACAAATATAGTTACTTAATTATAAAGAAAACTTGCAAAGCAAGAAATCTAGTCGAACTACACTTTTTGCTCAGTCAACATAAAATGGAATAAATTTTGTTCTTTCAATTAAACAAGATTTCCTATTTTTTCTAATTAATTCGAGTCAAATCGAATTTAAGTCAAACTCTAACATTAACTCTGTAATAGATTGACATTGAAAAAGATTTTATCCTAATACATGTTCATCATATCATGTTGATCATAAGGATGGCAATGGCATGCAAGCAATCCTTTGGATATTATTTAACTAGGGTTCGTTTTTATATTTTTTAATAACAAAATAAATATTAAAAAAATTCAAAATTGATAAATTTATTTGTTTGGATATAAAATCAACGTAGAATTTAAATTTTAAATAAAATAATTTTCTATTATATGTAGGGATAAATATGGGTTAAGTCAAGTTGAGTTGGACCAGAGTTTTTACTAACCCAAACTTGAGTATTTTACCCTTCCGCTCGTCATCTAATTTGACCCATGTTAGGGAGGTTTTATCTAATTTAAAACTCGACTTGTTTTTGGGGTAAAATTTACATCTGACTCGACTTGATACAAATATTTATATAATTTTATTTTTTTAATTGTGAAGATTCATGTATTTAATAGTGAGACACATTTAATTAATAATTAATGTAAACCTTACTAATGAACAATAATTCTATAAAACAAAAATAAAATTATTAATATTATAAACTAAAAGAAAGAATTGCAAGAATATAAAAGATGAAAAAAATTTAATAATGTTTTATAGTACAAATATTAAGGGTAAAAGATAATGATAAAAATTTTAATATAAGATAAATGAAAATGATAAATGGATAAATAATGATAAAAAATAAAATAAAATTCATTTTTTATCAATATATATAATAAGTCATATAAAAGGATAAAGAAAATGATAATAAGCTTAGTTATTTTCTTTTTTAATGGAATAGTTGATATTTTAAAAATTCATTACTTTCTGGGTAAATTACACATTTAGTACCTAAACTATCAATTTTAATCCGTTTTATTATATAAACTTTTATTTTTTTCAAAACCATACCTAAAATTTAGTTTTTGTTTCATTTTAGTACCCCACCATTAAAAACTTTAGTTTTTGTTTCATTTTAGTACCTCGTTCAAAAGTCAACGTTAAGTTTTAAAAAAAATTGAAAGTTTAGGTACTAAAACGGAACAAAACTGATAGTTTAGGTACTAATCGCGTTAAGTTTATAGTGATGGGGTACTAAAATAAAATGAAAATTAAACTTTAGGTATGCTTTTGAAAAAAATTAAAGTTTAAGTACTAAAATCGATCAAAACTGATAGTTTAAATACTAAATACGTAGTTTGCCCTATTTTTTTTTTTTATCTCAATCAATAATTGTCATTCAAGTTTTGTACCGAATGTAATGTAAAATTAACATAATTATATATATATATATACGGGTTAAGATCTAGTAACACAATATAAAATTCTTTAGTTTTACACATATTTTTAGGATCGTTGGATGAGTGAAAATAGATGGTTAAGATCGACTCCTTG